TCTCTTCCACCACCCATGGGGGGCCACTGTGCATTCCTAAGGGAAGAACTCAGTAACCTTCTTTATCGTGAACCGTGCCTTCAGTGAGCTGAAAAATCACGTATCCCTCCCCACCACGGTCCATGTTACTTATCCGTTTCCAAAAATCGTATCCATTTCAGTTCCTATCTATCTGAGATCCTTTTATGAGGATAAAGTATAACAGTATATAATAGTATAATCTGAGATCCTTTGATTCTCCTAAAACAAACATCTTTGAACCCTTCAGCCCGATTGTCCAAACAGTCCTTTTACCGTTGATCGTTCTTCAGATGCTTGCTGCTGACTATTCTGCACTTTCAGTCTGAGCTCCATTTGCGTGAAACAAGTTAGGAAACAATTGATGACTGATCCTACATCAGAGGTGAATGAAGAAGTTGGAGATATACCTATGTAAGCATTTCTTTCTTTCAGCATTGTTTAAGCATTACAACTTGTTTTAAACACGTACCAATGGAAGGATAACAGAATGGAAAATAATGTGGTGGCGCCGACTGGACGAAAGAAATTAATATTATGCCTTATGCCCCTCATACGAACACGATCCAGTGAACTACTTCGGCTCGCGACAGGGACGAATAAAGACGTCAGTTTCCTCTTCCGACAAAACCGATGACCAACGGGACAACAGGTAATACAGTTGATGTGAGGCGATTGAGACCGAAAATTGTTTTTTCAAGATTTCTACTTATCTCGGCCAAATGACATAGGAAACAGAATTAAGCCAAGTGACGATGAAGCCACGAAAGATGTTTTGGTCTAACAGTAGCACAATAGCAAAAGTTTATGTGTACCTTCTGGCTACCCACTCCCNNNNTGAATCAATTTTCAGCATGACCTACCGCAATTTCGAAGATATTGTTGATTGCTCTTAGTGCTTGTTCCTTGGTCGCCGACATATTTAATGCCTGCACTTTTGCTTTTCGATTTGTGGAGTACATCATTTGCAGCGGTAGATTGAAATCATTTTCTTCAAAATTTATGACTTTTTCTGTAAAACACGTTTTGTTTTGGAGATAAAAGACAGTTTTGAAGTCAGGCAGAAAAACTTACAGAGTGAAAAGTAGGCTACAGAATATGCTTGTGTGACTGGATAAGCATATACACATGATATACTAAGGATAACTGTAGCCCTTTTATTATGACAGCCGGAAAGTTTTGAAGAAGTTTCGTCTCTCAACTTTGGAGCATGTTGCTCGCGAGCCCGCTAAAGGAAGGCTCTTGAAAGGGGAAGCATGGAAAGGGGAATTGTTGATAGATCAATGCTATAACCAATCGGTATTCCACGTGGTGATTCAAAGTAAGTAATCGTCGGCCAAACGATATGCCATCGATACGACTTCCGGAGTCTTCTGATCTCCGTTAGAAACTGATCGCTTCGACTCTCAGGTTCAGAATGAGATATGGTGAATGGTAGGTGGCAGTGATCCTCTCTTGTCACCTACCATAAATGGCACGATCGCATCTTCTGAGAAGAGATTTGCTTTGACAAAGTTCGTCGACGCGAACGTCCCTGCCCCCCAATTCCGACCCTATTTTAGCCTCCCGTCAGAGCAATCCTCCTAAAAGTGGCAGAAAATGTAAAAGACGATCTCTACTCCATATCATATCATCCATGACGTTCTACGCAGTAGTCGTTGTCAAAAGAGGACTTATTACAAATATCGCCAACTCCTTGACTGAACAGGAGTGTCGAGTGCGAGTCAGTGTGTGTCAGAGGCTCCTCAACTGTAGGCGAGTGACGACATCAACCAACTTCATTATTGATCGGGATGAAAAGTAGATGTCTATCAAAATAGACACAGGAAATCGTAATGCCTGCCAGAGGACGTAAGGCCAAAGCCCGCTATACGGTGCTCACGCTAAGCAAGACACGGACTCATCCTTCTTCTGCCAACCCAGGTTTTCCTATGAGATTCTACCAGTGTACACCACGGTAAGCGCAAGAATAGTCTGTTACCGACTGAGAGAGATGGTGTTTCGAGCCCTCCATTCCATCCCGATTCCAAGAAAATTTCGATTGTGAGGGATAATGCTCGGCCACCCCTCGATGTATGAGCTGGAAAGACTCGAAATTCCGACTACTCCGCTCCCTACACATTCACCTTACCTCAACACATATGACTGCTATACTTTCAGAAGTCCATAGGTCTGCTCTTCAGTGTAAGAATTCACTAACTGTCGAGAAATCATCTGGGTGGTAGATTAATGAATTGCTGTGCACCTCTCTTCATATTGGAGGAATGGCATCAATGCCCAGCCCGGTTGATGGAGAAACATTGTGACTAAGAAGGGCCACTATCTTGATCACTGATCTGAACTTATTGCTGTAGTTATTTTGTATTGAAGAAACCAACTGAATTTTTTCGGAACTTTCCGGGCACCTTTATATATAGGAAGGCGCAAAAATTTTCCATCCAAAAATGAAAATAGTTTATTGTAGTTAAATCGCGAGACTCAGATGCAGCACGACTTCTTCATCCACCCTCCACTAATAATAAATTCTGAAATTTTTGACGGTGAACAACTCCATATCTGGGATTGTCCCCACATTCGACATCAACTCAAAATTGGGGTGGCGCTTTGAAAACGTCTATGGCAGTTTCAGTGACTTGCTGTGTTCAGCTTACGTTCAAGTCAGTGGTTTTACTTTCTTGGACGAGTCTTGTATTAACGAATCGATCTGGTAGAGATGAAAGGCTGGGTCATCCTGTATATTCATGAATCGATCTTCGAACAGTGCAATAGTGGGCCGCTCAGGTTTACCTCACACTAGGGCAGGATTACTGGTGGTACAGGTGATAAGTACAGTCCTCACTATAGGCTGAAGCATCCAAGTACAGTACATCCGAGCTCTTGAAGCCTTTCTTCTCCCCCCATCACTTCGGATTCTATTAATTGATAACAGACTCTCTTGAGTGGATGAACACTGGGTTCGACCGAAGTCTCACTCTCACATTCCACCCTTTCAGGCATTTAGATTCATCCGTTTTCCCCATTACATTGTGAAACTTCCTATGAATGTTCAGTTTAATGTTATATCTACAATCACCACTCACCTTGTCCAGGAGCAAGTGTTACACAATCTGCACAAGCCTCTGATAGAGGACTACCAAAGAGAAAAATAGCGAGGGACTGCGCGACAAGCAGCGACTCGTGTCCGAGCATATCCTCTCTGAAATCAAAATCTGATTTTTCACTTACTGTGGGGAAGATGTGGACGAGATTCTGATAATCGAAGTCAACACAACCTACTGCTTTTATAGTGAAATTTATTCCTTCTAAATAAGGTTGCGAGAGGCTGGCGCTGGATTCAAAAGGTACGGCTTCTTTGAGCATTTGCACAACCAGCTGATCCTTTCCGCGGACACTGGCGAATGGGGGACGGTTACGTGCGTCCGAGGATGCGCGCAGCAAATTTCGCGGCGAAGTGCGTGGCGGTTCGAACAACCCTGGCGCCAACTATATGGGATCAAATTTGAAGTAGAGTAGATTAGTATGATCAGCTGATCCTACTGATCTACCCTACTTCAAGTTTCTGCCCCAATAATCGACGACAGAGTCGTTCGAATCGCCACGCACTCCGCTGCGCAATTTGCCGCGCGCATCCTCAGACGCACGTATGTACCCATGCCCCTGTTGAATACCGTCACCTTTTGAAAAAGTTGGACTATAGTTCTTGCGAAGATAAAATGCTTGTGAGACGGTGGGCTATATATGTTATGTGTGGTTTCTCAGAAAAGAAACTTACCTTCCTAAGTCAGCAGATGAGGTTGCTGAAAAACTCATTCAATTTGCAAAGAAACTGTTGACGGTGAGCCTACTGACGGGGACAATTGTCACGGTAAACGGCAACTATATCGCAACCTCTGACAACAGTGTTTGCTTAAAAGTAAAAGACAACTGAAGGAAAGGGAGCAACGCCTTAGGTTTCAACCTGCGATGGATTCCCTGATTCGATATCACAGTATAACCGGAACCATTGAAGGACTGATGTCTAGGAGAAGGTGCCTACGTCGTTCCTTGCAGCTCTTTATCTATCCATAAAAAGGCGAAAAGATACAGTATTCAGATATGAGTTATTTGCGGAGGTCACAATATGCAACATCTGGCGAAAAGGGAAGAAAAGCGCTTTAAAAAAATTATCGTGCACTCGATTGATAGTAAACTGCTAGAAACTATAAAGGGGTCAATTTCGGCCATTTAAAACCTACAAGCGTCCCAGAAGCTGCGAGGGGTGGAACGAAAGAAATCCTGGCTACAGGGACGGCGACCTGAACGAAACTGTAGACAAAAACCGCCGGAGGATTTGGATTGCACAGGATGAAAGTCTTCGGCACCCGGAAACACTGCCTGTAAATTCGCACCTACGCGTGCCGTAGCGCTGCCTCAAAGGCCGACCAAACCGTCCTGAGTGAGGCCAGCAAGAGGCTTCGCTTTGAAGTAATTGCCCTTTAAAAGACGAAAACCAAGGAAACAGCCATCAAGAAGGCTAACGACGGCCACCTATTCTTCTAGGTGAAATGCAAAAAAGCGATGGGCGGGGCACGTGGTCTGTCGCGCGAACGACCGGTGGACCATTCGCGTTACATGCTAGTACCCACATTATGTTATGCGCGCACTTGACCGTCCTGCAACGAGATGAGGTGACTCACCAAAGAAAATTCAGGAAAATGCTGGCCAACCTTAGTCTCGAACCGCTCAAGATCGTCAGAAATGGAGGGGAGCGTGTGCACACCGCTGAGCGACTCTGACGCCTATTATTGGGGTACAAACTTGAA